TTACTATGGTGGGAATTAAACTCGGGACATTACCAGGTCTCTGGATCATTAGTCAATAGATAATACCACAAGGTCATCACTTCCCGTCATGGTTTAATTTCAAGCTTTCAAGCAGAATGCCACCCTGCCATCCATTTATGTTCTTTAGGGAAGGAAACTGTCATCCTTACCTGGTCTGGCTTACTTGTGACACCATACCAACAGCAATGTGGTTGATTCTTAACTTCCCTGTGGGCAATAAATGCTGGCCTAGACAGTGATGCCCACATCCCGAAATGAATATATAAAATAAACTATTCCACGAGGAGATAATTAAACTTGGTAACAAACAGTTAATAACAAAGCAAGTATCAACTTCATGACTAGTTCCCGGGAGGTTGCTGATATTCCTAAGAATCTGCAGCAGTGTGGGAGTGGGTAGTTCAGTGAAAAACAGCAGGGCCTTCCAGACAGTCAAAAATAAATTTAATTTGGCGTGAGTTTCTTGCCAATTGGTTTTATATAACAGTTAACAATAGTTACTTTGACATGTTTTGGGATCTTCTGAGAGATTGAATCGCCTGCTGTATAAAATCATATCTTTCTTTATAGGATGAGCATCAGAAGTAGACGTGCACTTATTTATACATCGTGCTGTGTTCACAGAACATTATTGATTGGTACAGGTTGAGTGTGCTAGGATACAACATTTTGTTTCCCTAGGATAGGTGAGGAGTATGTTATTTATTCATGAGCTTCAGCATCATGTAAGGTCAGAAGTCACATGACACCAGGTTATAGTCCAACAGATTTATTTGAAACCACAAGCTTTTGAAGCACTGCCCCTTTATCACGTGCAGTGAGGACAAGCATACAGGCACAGAATTTATAATCTGAGAGAGCAAAAGATCATACAAATGTTGCGAGTTGATTGTCGACAGGCTGAATAATAAGTCTCTGCAGGTGATCAAGAGTGCCAGACGGTGTGAGTAAAGTGTCAATAGCTGAACAACAAGTGAAGGGATGACCTATAATCTGATTAATTGAGGCAAAGAGATAATTACACAAAAAATTAAAACGAAGGTGCTGGGACAAACTGAATGACTGGACTAACATCGTCTGGCACCCCTGAGCACCTGATGGGACCTATTATTCGGAATGTCTACAATCCACACACACCATTTGTATGATCTTTTGATCTCTCTGATTATAAATTCTGTGCCTGTATGCTTCTCCCCACTTCACCTGACGAAGGGACAGCACAATGAAAGCTTGTGATTTCAAATAAACCTGTTGGACTATAACCTGGTGTCATGTGACTTCTGACCTTGTCCACCCGAGTCCAACACCGGCACTTCCACATCGTTTCAGCTTAATATAGTTTAAAATGTGTGTTTGCTTGAGTGAGCTACCGGTGTCTTTACGAGTAAAATAGTTTTGTTTAGTGCGGTGTAGGATAAAATTCCAGGCATCGCGGTCGTGTTATTACGATCAATTTTCCGTCGATGTTCTATTAACAGTTGTCATCATGTTTGAGGTTTCACGAAACTGATTGCAATATATTCCCTCGCCTTCAGAAGTATCAGCTCGCCTTTTTCCTTCATTTGTTTCTGCAACTTTGAGAGTTTTTCCTTAATCGATTTTAAATTCTCCTGAATCTTTTGAAGGTTTTTCTCCATTGGTTCTTCAATCCTCTTCTCTTCTTCCTCGAGATCGCTGAGTAAACGCTACTCTTTCTCAGCGAGAATCTGGTGCATTTTAGTGAACTCGGATGTGATGTGGGTCTGCAGTCTGCTCGCCTGTTCCTACCAAATGAAACGTGAAACATCATTAATGTCCCACGATAAAGGGAACAAAACTAACGAAGATCCCAGAAAATCAGCGCAGGAAGATCTCACCCTAACTTCAAAAATCTTCACTTTCTGTTTCAGTTCCGTTTCTACAACGACCCGTACCTTCTTTGTGAGAGAATCTAAGGAAGATTTCAGCTGATCCTAGAATTGGAAGAGAAAATTATATAATTAAAGAAGCAGACTGTGCAAATGTACTAAAACTTTCACTTTATACAGCATTTCCTTTTTACCTTTTAGATTTCAACAGCTTCCGTAATCGGGAGGAAGCGGTGCTCTCTGTGTTCCTGAGAATCTTTACAAATCAGACAAATCAATTTCTTTTCAGTCTCACAAAACAGCTTCAGTTCTTCTTGATGTTTCTCACAGTGAAATTCATTTTCTTTCTCTCTCGGACCGAGATTTAATTTTCGAGCTTTCTCGGCCAGATTCGCTGTGGCCAGAGTTGCCATTAAGTTTCTTTGCGGAACCGCCTCTCGACATTTCGGGCAGGAATTTATCTCCTTATTTTCCCAAATCTGCGTGATACAGGAGCCTTCACAAATGCTGCCAGACCTGCTCAGCGTTTCCAGCAACTTCTGTTCTTGTTCCTGATTTACAGCATCCGCAGTTGTTTTGGTTTTTGCTTTTTTTTTACTTCAAAGCAGTGTTTTGTCATGCAAACATTCTATGTTGGATTATATGGAGTATGTCAGGAGGAATGGTGGACAGCAAACGAGAGGAGAATTCAAGTACTGAATAAATATCCTCGTCAGTCTTGCAGTCAACAGCCCAGCTCGGACAAGTTAACTGCAATCTGCTGCACCCATGGGTGTTAGTTTCTCTGGTGAAGATCTCATTGAAATTTATCCTACAGGGTGAAATGAGAAACCGTCAAACCTCTCTCAGGACTTTGTTAGATATACTGAGCGATAATAGGGACACAGATCCAATAAATTTAATTGCAAACCCAGTGCTTTTACAGAAATCCTTCTTATAAATGTTTTATATTCAGCATTTACTAAATTGAATGTTAACTCTTGACTATGCTACAATTTTATAGATCTTAAGACCAGACTGGGATCCTGTGAACAGTTTTGATTTTCTTGTTTAAGGAATTTATTCTTGCCTGAGAGGAATACAATGAAATTCCAGTGGATTATTGTTGGTATTGTCCTGTGATGGGAAAGTTTATAGTTTATCTCCATTTCTACCTGAAGAATTAGAAATGTTCTCGTTGAAACACATCCTTCTTAAAGGACTTGATGCGATAATTGTTGAGAGGCTGATGCCTCTGAATAGGCTTGATAGAACCCGGGTCCTTAGTGAATCTAGCGTAGGAATTTGTAAAAGTAAACCAGTATTGGAACAGGTAGTAAATTGGGCTTCACTGAAAGGATCACTGGGAGTAAAACTGAAGCTGCTTTATGCAACCGATGAAAAATTATTTGTATGGTGTGTCTTGCCGGAAGTCACAAATCACGTGTCTTTTGCGGCTGATCAACGCAACTGCCGAGATCAATAAGATGAAAGTGGACAAGAAAATTCGTCGATTTATGCTGGAGATCTAAGTATTAACAGAATGTTAGCTCTGTTTCTCTCTCCGTAGATACTGCCAGACCTGCTGAGGTTTTCCAGCACTTTGTTTTAATTCAATGCTGCAATTATTTGTCCCAAAACCAGGTTCAGCTGAAATCATTCTGAGAATCTCTCAAGGGAAGAAGTTCTGCTCTAAAAACAATGAAGGAGCAACAAAATAATTCTAAAACCAGAATAAGGTCTACCTCTGCTGATTTTCTGGGGTCTTGCTTAATTTTGCTCTTTTTAATGTGTTATGTGAATTATTTGTATGAGGTCATGTTTCATTTGGTAGGAACAGACAAGCAGTCTGCAGAACCACATCACATCCCAGTTCACTAAAATGCACCAGTTTGTCACTGAGCAAACGCAGTATTTACTCAGACATCTCGGGTTGGGGGAAGAAGGGGAAACGATTCTAGAACCAAAGGAGAAAAACATTCGGGATTCAGGAGAATTTAAATTCTATTAAATTACAATTGAGGGGAAACTCTCAAAGATGCAGAAATAGAAGGAGTGAAAAGACAAGCTGATATTTCTGAAAGTGAGGGAATATTTTGCTGGTCAATTTTGTCACTCTGTTTGACAGGTTAAGCAATTATAACTGAAATAAATACAACACAATTAAAATATAAAGCAGATAGACGGCATAATTGCTTTCCATTTTAGGGAAGTTCTGCCAATATGACATAACAAATCAACTTCCACAGTCTTCAGAATCCTCAAATATCGAAAACCTCTCTGGCCACAGCAGAGAAACCAGTGGACTGGAGAACAACTAATATGGAACGATTATTCAAGAAGATTGGTAAGAAACTGTAGACCGATGCATCTAACAGCCACCATGGGTAACTTATTGGAAACAATTATTTGGGACAGAACCAATCTCCAATGAGACAGGCAAGGGTTCATCAAAGGAAATCGTGTGCAAGATTTTTTTTGAGGAGGGGTGACTAGATACATAAATGATCATAGTGCATTTGGACTTCCAAATGGACTTCAGTAAAGGTTTTGACAAGGTCTCACATGGCAGCCTGGTTTAGAAGCTAGGAGACCATGGGATCCAGAGGAATCTGATCTAAGATTGCCTTTGCAATGGAAGCAGAGTGCAATGGTCGAAGGATGTTTTTTGTGACTAGAACTCTGTGTCCAGTAAACTACCACTTGGCTCGTTGCTGTTTGTTGTGCACCTTAATGATTTAATCATGAATGTAGGAGGTACAATCAATCATTGAATTCACAGATGACATGAAAATTGGTTGTGTGGTAAATAGCAAAGAGGATACTCTCAGACTACATCAACGTAGGCTGGCTGGTGAGACAGGCTGAATAGTGGCAAACGAGATTAATCCTCAAAAGTATGAGGAGGTGCATTTTGGGAGCATGAACAAGGCAAGGGAGTATACATGCAATGGTAGGAGCCAAAGAAGTAGAGGATGAGAGAGATCTTGGTGTGTGTGTCCATAGCTCCTTGGAGAAAACATTACAGGTAGATAAGGTGGGGTGAGACAGCATATGGGATACATGCTTTCATTAGTTAAGGCACTGAATATAAAAGCAAGGATGCTATGATGGAGCTGCATACAAATTAATTAGGCCAGTGGAACTTAACAATTTCAGTATTCGGGCTTATTTTAATGAGACAAACAATTCCACAATACACACTTTTTCCAACTGATTTGATTGCTCATAAACATTACATTTGTTTGCATTTACTATGGCTACTGCCTTACCAGAGGTGTCTTCATTAGAAAGCTCAATTCAGTTATTTTAACATGCATTGGTTTTAAGCTACTCATCTAGGTTTCCTCAATTAATCCACACTTGTCTAACTATGTCCCAGATCATCCTGAAGTTTTCACAATGTTTATCTCACTGGCCTGTCACTATTGAGTTTATTCTTACACATTTTTGAACAGATTTACGATTGCCTAGGCTTCTGACACCTACTTGAAAAAGGGAATTGTATGAACACTTCAATGCAAAAAAAGACACAAAGACATTTTGCAGGGCTGTAGGAGGAAAGGCATTAAATTTTTAACAGCTAAATAGCTCTATTCAGGCACCTCTTCAGCCTCAAGGGCTAAAATAGGTGAATGTTCTTATAGCCCACCTCATGACCTTCTCCACACTGGCAATTACTGAGGTTCCAGAGTAAATCTTAGTATCATTTCTGGGCAACAACTTTTCTACTTATCTCAGCCAGAGGCACTTAGACTCAACCAGATGAATTTGCAATGGGAGCTCTAAGAATAAAGAGAAATACAGCACAGAAACAGGCCCTTTGGCCCTCCAAGCCTGTGCTGACACATTTTGCCGAAGGGTCCACGCTCTAGAACAATTTGTGAATCAAACAGTCAACGTTTTATTTCTGTTTCTTGGGCTTAACAATGAAAGTGTTGTTTTTGAGAAAAGTTTCATATGTTTCAGTGATTCTCACATTGTACTGCTTGAAGAACCCACTTTCAAATGTAATCACGAACTCCAATATAAATTGTAGTTATAACTCCAATCTGAGCAGGTTACAGACGTGTTGAATAATGCTTTTAATTAAAGAGTCATTTACATTTTAGTGATTTAAGGATCATTCCAGAAATGTACACAGTGATGAGACAAAACTAAATCAGGGATAAATGACAACTGTGATTTCACTTATATTCTAGTGTATGCAAATTGAGCTGCCTTTAAAGTGGTTAGACATTATCTGTTAAATGCATCAATACCCAGTTGATATATCACTTTCAAACCAGACAGGTTGTCAAATAATTATTCACAGCAGTCTCACCCCATCTGAGTGTTTAAGTAGTCTCAAGGTACGTTCCTCAAGCTGCCGTGGGCAAACGAATTTTCTTCCAATTTTATGACAGAGCACCTAAGCGAATGTGACATTTAATCATTGAAGAATTTCGTGTTATTTCACCATGGCAAGTGCTTGAATTAAGAAAAGTTGACAGCATTTTCGTGATTACCAGAAACAAACCATCGAGACATTAACTGAAACAGAAAATGATGGAAAACTCAGTTAAACGATAGGATCAGAAGAGTTACTCAACTGCAGAAGAACTTCATTTCAGACTCGAAAAGTTAACTCTGTCTCTCTCTCTCCACAAATGCTGAACTTACTGAGTTTCTCCAACCTTCTCTGTGTGCATTTCAGAGTTTCAGCATCCGTAGTACTTTGCTTTCATAAGAACAGTACTTGCGTATAGCTAGAGCCCAAACTGAAAACAGCGCAGCTTGTCTTCCACCATCCCCGCGACTGAAAGTGAATCCTATTCTACCGCTGAAAACCATGAAACAAGTATCCCCAACACCGTGAAGAAAATGAAAATTCGGCAGGTTAGAGAATGGAAATCTTCATAGTTGTTTACCCAGGATTAACACTAATTGCTAGTAATATAAGCTTTGATGCTGGTTATTTTTCCATCACTTCCACTCCCCACACACACTCTCTCACTTGCCCCAGTGATATGATCTCGTGTCTGCGCGGATATACTCCACTGACGCTGCAGCGAAATGATTTGGTGCCCCCTGGAAAGATTCCACTGAGCCCAGTCTGAGAACCACTGACTGATTCATCTCCAACACCTTCCGCCTGTGGAGCAACATTACAGGCTGAAGGTTCCTGTGTTCCTGCAGCTCACAGTTCATTCTACCCAGTAAAGTCCATCTCTACAATTAAGCTTCTGTTTGATTTTTCTCTCCCCCTCCTTCTTTCCCCCAGCTCTACAGAGCTCCTTGTTGACCTTTCGGCTCCCAGTTCCGATACAGAGTTTATTCCTTAAATGCTAACCTGCCTCCCTCTCCACCTGTGACTGAGACCGACCCCCATCAGTTTACAGATGGCAGGAGGCGGGGGGAGGGGCGGGTGAAATTATGGGATGGATCTGTCAGTAACCCTTAATCCCGCAAATTGTCAGCGGGGCGGAGTTTTTCCCATCAATATTCAGTCCCGGACTGAAGATAGGAAAGATCCTCTCAGTGAAAGTGTGGGTGAAAGTGTGAAGATGGGACATGTTGTCCGCGTTGTAAAATGACACCTGTCCACCCTCATAGTCCAGGAAAACACCGATCTTCCGGGGATTCACATTCTGGATGAATGGTGTTGGTGAAGGGGAGGTAGCGGCAAAGTAGCCACTCCCTGGAATCAGTCCCACAGTCCAGTTTCCGGACTCAGGGTTCAGGATATTTACTCTTTTCCTGTCCAAAGACTCTCGGGCCACTCCCAAACCCCATTCCGTCTTCCTCCCCACCTCCACCTCCCAGTAATGTCTCCCTGATGTAAATCCTTGTGATCCAAGGACAAAGGGCAAGGGATCAAATCTCTCGGCGGAGTCAGAGAGCGGCTGCCGTTTGTCTCCGAGTCTCACACTGGTCCGGTCCTCAGACAGGATGAGCCAGGGATTCGCTGTGTTCGGATCAAGAGTCAGAGAGGCTGGAGCTGGGGGAGAGATCAAATAACACCGTCAGAGAGAGGGAGGGAGGGAGGAATCGGAGAACGCGTGATGTGGGGGAGAGGTCCAAAAGGTTGAGCAGGGCAGGAGAGAACATAAACATATGCGTGGGAGGACCGGAAGAAAGAGCTGTCATTGGGAGTAGAGCGAGTGGGAAAAGGGAAATGAAGAGATAAAGTAGGAGCAGGCAGAGAGTATATGAGAAGAAAAGAGAGGCAAAGAAATGATCGGGGTCGTTTAAGGATCTGCGACTTGAATGCTGTATCGAAGTGTGGAGGCGAGTGAATCGATGATGGAATAGCAGCTAGAGTGCTGGAAAGAAAGATTGCTGGAGGGGGAGTTTCAGAGATTGGGGAATGAAAAGGGAGAATTATGTGGGAGGAAACTGAGGTAATGAGATTATGGGAAGCGGGGGTGAAGGGGCGATCGGAAATTGACAAGTAGACATGAGAGATTTGAGGGTATGGGAAGGCAGCGCGGATGGGGCCTTTGGTGTTAGGGTTTTCAGTTACCAAGGCGCCAAGCTCTGAAATTCCCTCCCTCCAGCTCTCTATCACTCCACAACACATTCTTCCCTTACGAAACTCCTTTAAAACCTAATGCTTCCATGAAGATTTTGGTCACTTGAAGTTCTTGTGGGGCTGCATCGAATTATCGAATAATTGATTTTGGGAAGTATATTTTGTGAGGAGATTATCACATTATAGGTGTTATAGATTATAAATTACAGAGCTATAGTATTAGAGTTGTACAATAGGGAAACAGACCTTCAGTCCAACTCATCTATGCTGACCAGATATCCTAAATCAGTTAAAACCCATTTGCCAGCATTTGGCCTGTATCCCTCTAAACCCTTCCTATTCATACACCCACTCAGAAGCCTTTAAAATGTTGTAATTGTACCAGCCTCTACCACTTCCTGTAGCAGCTGATTCCGTAGATGTTACACCTTCTGCGCGAAAAAGTTGCCCCTTAGATCCCTTTTAAATGTTTCCACTCTCACTTTAAACCTATGCCCTCTAGGTTGGATTCCCTGCCCTGGAAAAAAAACCTTAGCTGTTCACCCTATTCATGCACCTCATGATTTATAAACCTCTAATATAAGGTCTCCCTTCAGCCTCCGACGTCCCAGAGAAAATAGCCCCAGCCTATTCAGCCTCTCCCTATAGCTCAAACCCTCCAGTCCCGGGGCCAACCCTGTAAATATTTTCTGAACCCTTTCAAGTTTAACAACATCTTACCTATAGCACAGATACCAGAATTGAACGCAGTATTCCAAAAGTGGCCTAACCAATATCCTATACAATTGCAACATGACCTCCTAACTTCTATACTCAATGCACTGACCAATAAAAGCAAGTATACCAAACACTTTCTTCACTGTCTGTCTGTGACTGCACCTTCAAGAAACTATGAACATGCACCCCCAAGGTGTCTTTGTTCAGCAAAACTCCCCAGGGCCCTACTATTAAATGTTTAAGTCCTGACCTGATTTGCCTTAAGAAAGTGCAACACCTCTCATTTATCTAAATTAAACTGCATCCGCCACTCCTCAGCCCATCAGACCATCTGATCAAGGTACCATTGTACTCTGAGATAACCTTCTTCACTCTCTACTACAAGTTGTTGAAAAGGGAGGGATAATAGGGATTAGTGGAGTGTGATGTATGAGAGAGTAAAGGAAAGGGAAGTAGTAAGAGATACAAAAAAAAGAGAGCTCAGAGGAAAAGCGTGTGAAAAAGAGGGAAGAGACCAGTGGGAAGAGAATTTGTGTATGACAGAGGGAGGGTTTAGCAGACAGGAAAGGGGAGAGATGGAGAGATGTGAGGTGATAGGGTGAGGGGAGAGAGAGCAAGATTGGGAGAAGAGAAGGCAGCATGCAGGATTGGATTGGATTGGACAAAGAAAGTAGGGAGTGAGTGAGGAAGAGACTATTGTGCAGAAAAGAGACAGCAGGATGGAATGAGTACTAGAAATTACAGGAATTTGAGATAGGAAAAGTGGAGAGGGTGGAAGGGTGAGTTGAAACGTGGGAAGGGCAGGGCTGAGAGAGCAAGTGCCCGACAGGAAGAGAGATACAATGAGGAGGAAAAATAGAGAATAGTAGGAGGCTAAAGATAGAGGGAGAGCAAATGGAGGGTTTCACAAAAAAGGTCATATTTGTCTCAGTGTTAAAATCTATTTCTCTCCAAAGATGCTGCCAGATATGTTGATTTTTTTTCAGCACTTTCTGTTTTTAGGATAGAAGGTGCATCCAGTAGAGGTGACAATCTCAATTTGCTGCAGCAAATCTGGAGATCTCCAAAAGACTGTTAGAATTCAGCTCATAAGAAGGGCAATTTCCATTCACAGCATAAATTAGTAGCATTGTAAACTCAGGGGAGCAGCAGTGTGGTGAAACTAACTTCTGAAGTTCAATTTGTACCAGATTCGTTTAAAGTTGAAGTTATTGAGGGGAAAATATCCAAGGAATAGTGCAGGTGAAATTGCAAACTGATGATAATGCAAACCATGTGGAACTGCATTGAGCAACTAATATAGAATGTGCTAAATGCTCATCCAGGCAAGTCAAGAGTATGCCTTCAAACTTCTGACTTGTGGAGTGTGGGCATGCATTGGGGACTCAGGAGGTGAGTTACTTGCCACATAATTCCCAGCCTCTGACCTGCTGTTCTGGCCACAGTATTTACATTTTAGTTTAGTTTCTGGTCCTGGCAACACCCATGTTATATATAGTGGACCATTCCTTTTCTTTCCAGTGTGTCTATGCAGTTTTATCATCTCAATATCTTTTAACCTAGAATGCTCATACCTACGAGTCCTCTCTTATCAAGAATGATGTCGCAACTTCTTGATCAAGCTGCTTAACCTCAACAAACAGAATAGATGGTTTTTAACAAATATCTTCAATATCGCTGTGTGTTCCTAATATTGCACTAATAAAACTTAGCCAGTACTCCACTGGAAATTTAATTTCACATTCTGATCTCAGTGCTCTGTTCCTCCAGTTCTACAGATCTTTTTGCTGCTTTAACAAAAAAAATCCAATAGCTTCACCCAGTGAAAGTCACAGAAAGCAAAATATGAGAACGGAGAGGCGCCCGAGGATCTGAGCAATCATCTGATCATATAATATGGGACCTTGGGTCGCCTTTTGTCAAAATCAAGCAAAATATCGAGTTTTACCCGGGTTAATGTCGCGATTCAGCTCTCTCCACGTTATGTACTGCAAGGGTCCTTTGAATTTTCCAATAGATAGGACGGCATCCGCTGTTGAGAGTAGGTGACACTCGTCTTTGATCCTGTGCGTATTAAGCAATCCATGTTAAAAATTTGGCTTTGACAGAAATTTTCAAAAATAATGTAAAATCCTCAAACATCCCCAAACAATCTTGAATGTAAATATGTTTAAGCATGAAGTAAATCAATAGCAACATATTTCAGAGTGAATTTAGCAAACTGCAGAATTTCACTAAAGATCAATGTCTTACCTTTTGTTCAGACGAGTTTCATGCTGAAAGAAATGAATCACAGATAGTTAGTTTGATGGTAACACTTTTCAGGAGGAGACAAACAGGCTGGTGGAATGAGCAGACACAACCCGGAAGTATAAATTTCGGAAGGAAGATTGAGGAGAGGATAAGATAAACTGGAACTCAACATCAGTCCCGCTCACAGACACAAAGACGTTCACACTCCCGATGTACCAGACACACCTACACACTCTCCACATGGAACTGTAACTAGATTACAATGGGAGTTCCCGGAGATAATTAAACTTGGGGAACACGGAATTTATGACAAAGTACTAAGGTTTAAATAATTCATTCCCGGGATTCTCCACAGAAAGTGGAAACCAATCATTCATTTGCCAACAAACTGCACAGTCGACATTTTAGTTCTGTTTCTACTTTTCGTGAAAGCGCATGTGCACAGTTCACCGTGATTGTGTAAGTTTTACTGAAATCACCTGCAATATAGACCCTCACCTTCAGAAGTATCAGCTCATCTGTTTGCTCCATCTGTTTCTGCAACTTTGAGAGTTTCTCCTCAATAGAATTTAAATTCTCCCGAATCTCTCGAAGGTTTTTCTCCATTGGCTCTAGAATCCTCTTCTCTTCTTCCCTGAGATCTCGGAGTAAACGCTGCTCTTTCTCATCGAGAATCTGGTGCATTTTAACGAACTCGGATATGATGTGGGTCTGCAGACTGCTCGCCTGTTCCTACCAAATGAAACGTGAAACATCATTAATGTCCTGCGATAAAGGGAACAAAACTAACCGAGATCCCAGAAATTCAGCACGGGGAGATCTCACCCTCACTTCGGAAACCTTCCGCTTCTGGTTCAGTTCCATTTGTTGAGCCGCCGATTTCTTCTCTGTGAGAGAATCTAAGGAAGATTTCAGCTGATCCTCGGAGTGACAAAAAAAACCAAAACGGATGTTAGACCGTGAAAATGTGATAAACATATAATCTTACAAATGTTTTCCCTTTTACCTTATAGTATTTAACAGCTTCCTTAATTTGAATGAAGCGGTGCTCTCTGTGTTCCGGCGCAGTGACACAATTCACACAGATCAATTTCTCGTCGGTTTCACAGAACAGCTTCAGGTCTTCTTGGTGTTTCTCACAGTGAAGTTTACTTCCCTGCTCTTTGGGTATCTCGTTTGATTTTCGAGCTTTCTCGGCCAGATTCGCTAAGGCCCGATTTACCCTGAGGTTTCTTTCCGGAAACTCCTCTCTACATTCCGGGCAGGACTCAATCTCCTTCTTTTCCCAAATCTGGGTGATACAGGAGCGGCAGAAGTTGTGTCCACAATCCAGTATTACGGGATCCGTGAAGAAATCCAGACAAATGGAACAAACTGCCTCCTCGGTCCAACTCTTAGTCTGCTGTCTGGAAGCCATGTTCACACTGTAATTCAAACCGATTTTATTTTGGATTCCTTCAGCTTCCGATGACTTTTCGCGGGGATTCTCAGAGAAATATTTATGCGCTCTAGACCTTCACGCGGGTTAATAGCATGAAAGATAAACAGATTTAGAGCAGGACGGGCTGTGGTTGTGGTCGGATAATAAAACTCTGTCGGGTGTGGTTAAAGCTCTAGGGAAAATCACCAATGGAGATGGGCGGAGGTGGAGATTCCAAGCACTTTTGTCCTGTCTGAACTTGCCGCAGATCAAGTTCTCACGGTGCAGCACTAGGCGTATAGCCGAATTGCGTGAACAATCATCAGGCTTGCTACGGAGATTTTTCAGCAATTTCACAGATAACATAACGGTTGTATTTAGGGAGTATATTCCTGGGAATACGTCAACGGAAGTACGGATAACAGGTGTGGAGCTGGAGGAACACAGCAGGCCAGGCAGCATCAGAGGAGCCGGAAAGCTGACGTTTCCGGTCGGGACCCTTCTTCAGAAATGGGGGAGGGGAAGGGGGCTCTGAAATAAATAGAAAGGGAGGCAGTGACAGCAGGTAGATAGTGGAGCGGATAGGTGGGAGCGAGCAGTTTCAGGGCCGAAGAGATTACCAGAAGGTTGCAGTGGGAGAGAGATCCACTGAGGTCTTTCCAGAGGGAGGAGGATAACTTCTTCAAGGTAGGCATCCGTAGAAACCTCCTCCACTGTCAGAGTGTGGCCAAATGTAAACTGGAGGAACAACACCTGATATTTCACCTTGGACAGTTATAGTCCAATGGCCTTAACATTGACTTCACCAGCTTCAAAATCCCTCCACCTCCAGCCTTATCCAATGTCCACCCGCTTCCTGAGCTGACCGAACCTGTCCATCTTCCCAAGCACCTATCTGCTCCACCACTCCCACAGACAACACCCCCCCCACCTGCATCCACCTATCCCCATGTCTTTTACCCTCCCCACCGCCCCACACCCTCCCTCTAATTATTTATGGGTTTCACTTCCCTTCCCCAGTTCTGACGAAGGGTTTCAGCCCGAAATGTTGACTTTCCTGCTGCTCTGATGCTGTCTGACCTGCTGTGCTTTTCCAGCCTCACAGCATGTTCACTCTGGCTTCCAGCACCTGCAGTCCTTATTGTCTCCATGTACTATTTTTCCTTGAGTATTCAACACTTGACTGGGGGTCCGTTGACTGGACAGCCATTGAGTGATGCCAACTGTGTGGGTTAAATTCCCGCACTGCTGAGGTTACCATGAAGGACTTTCCTTCTCAACCATTCCCGTCAACTGAAGCATGGTGACCCTCAGGGTAAAGTACCACCAGTTGTCTAATGATAGAGCACCTCCATTGTCTATGGCAACTTTACCTTACCTGACTTTTCTGTATCTGTTTTATATGGCTAAATATTTTGCTCAGACACTATTGTTCTATATCGGAAGTCATTTGTAAACCACATCTGGTAGGGATGATAGATTTCTTTCCAGTGAATCAGTTGTGTTTTTTAATGACACTCTGTGTTAATGACAGAAGGAACATAGCCATTCTGGAAAGGATCTTAATACTGGTTCAGAAGTCACTATTGAAGACAATCATCCTGAGGTGTCTGAACATGGCGCTGGCCGATTCGCTGCTGTGTTGAATCTCTGCATCCATAACAGCCTGAATTAAAAAGTAACTTCCCAGCTAGGGGAAATGTTTCATTTTGGGAGGACTTCTCCATTGAACTTAACGGAGGGATGGAATAGTTGCTCTGGGATGGGTTGCTAAAGAGTTTGAGTCTTCTTGAGGTTGAGGCTGAGACGAGTACCTTGCTTACTCAAAGGCATTAAGTCAGGCTTGAAGATTCTCTTCCCAGGGAGTGAAGATGGTGTATTATCTGCATACTGAAGTTCCACATGCAAGGTCCATGTCATTTTCTTAACAAATTTCAAACAGTGAGGTTGATAAGTTCTCTGTCCAGTCTGCAGGAAAGGTCCACACCACTTATATGTACTGTTTCAAGGCCCTTAAGGAGTACCAGGGTAGATTCTCCACATTATCTGGGAGGACTGACAATCAGTACCAGTCAGAAGTCAAATGAACCAAATCATAATCCAACAATTTATTTGAAATCCCAAGCTTTCTGGGCACTGCTCATTCATCTGATGAATTTGTCCACCCCAATCCAACACTGGGTCCTCCACATCATTCATACCAGTATACAGGCTATGAACATCTGAAACCAACTCTGTTGGACTGGCCACGTGCTTAGGATGCCTGAGTTCTGACTGCCAAAGCACATCTTCTTCACCCAGCTCAAGGGAGGAACTGAGGTTTGGGTGAGGGATCAACAGTCATCCATTCTTCCTCAGGCAGTGGATTAATTCATCTAAACATGTATGACAATTCAGAAAGTTAAAATTTTATAATATATTGGGCATTTTAACATTCTAAGAGCTTGTCAGTCAACTTTAGCTTAATTCTCTGTTGATTTAAAAGGGGCGGGGCAAACATTCTTGGGCAAAATGACATCATAATCTCCTCTTTCTTTTGGACCAAGCCAGCTGTTTAAACAAAGCCAGACTATTTTCCTTCAAAGAAAATTACCCCTGCAATTCTTTAAAACTCCAAGTGCTTCTTATTTTTCGGAAATATCAGTTGACACCAATTAACTTTTGATACGAGCAAACTTGATTTCTGCAATTAATGGTTCGCTATATATAAAAATAATACTGGGATGTTTATTCTAGCAAGAATATTAAATTGCAAATTTGACAATTCCATCTTAAAAATTCTAAAGTTAATCATTTGCCTAAACTCTTCCCTTAAATTCAATATAAGTCAGGAATGTGCAGTGTCTTACGAAAGAGAGGAAGCAAATTATGTAATTTGTCTTGATGCTTTTTTCTTCGTTTTGACTTTTATACAATTGAAATTAAAATTTAACCCATTAATTTTTGTAAGAAAACCTTTACCATTCTGACTCCAAGCAAAAGTCTCATAGATTTTTACAGCCAGTATTAAGTTTATCTTGAGATTTGTTCGGTTGACTGGATGGCAGAATGACAGTAACAGCATGAGTTCAATTCCTGTACTGTGAGGTTGCCATGAAATTCCCACCGACTAAACCTCTTCCTTTGCCTGAAGCATGGTGACCCTCAGGTCAAACCACCACCAGTTGTCTCTCTCTAATGAAAGAGCAAACCTATGGTCCTCTGAAACTGCAGTGACCTTAATTTTGGAAAATATTCTCAGCCGTCATTAGTATGGGGTGCTAATGATAGCGTTCTGGTCACAAGTCTCAAACATTAACTCAATTTCCCTCTCAGAGAATGCTGATTGACATGCTGAGAATTTTCAGCATGTTCCATTTTAATTTTAGTTTTCCAGCATTTGTGGTATTTTTCTACGTAAAAACGAAGGTCCTGAGATTAGTTTATTGTTTAGCACTGAAATCAGTAGAACAATCCCATGAAGATATGAAAGTCAAGGAACTAACAAATTAAACCAAAATACTGTGGTCGAGGTCTGGACATAAACAGAATGCGTTGGAGAAGCTCAGCATTTATTGCAACAGCTGTGGAGAGAAAAACAGAACCACCATTTTCAGTCTGACAACTTTCTTCTTTAAAAATAAAAGGGGCTGGAAAATACTCTAGACAGAAGGGGCAGATAAATAATGCAACAAATCGTCAGGTTGCCCAGATCAAAAGACAAAGGGAATGCTGATGGTGGTAGGAGGGATAGAGATGTAAATGAGTGTAAATGATAGTTCTGAAAATTGGGTACACTTGTGACTGAATTCAACAAGGCACAGAAAAGACATGGAAAAAAATCAGAATTAAAGTTTTGGGTCCTGTGACCCTTGCGCAGAAGGACTGCTTTTCCAGCAACTTCTGTCTTTGTTCCTGATTTACAGCATCTGCAGTTCTTTTGGTTTTTATACAGAAAAGACATGGCTAGGGATGGGGAGGGACAGACGGTCATTAAGATATCTTGTAACGTTGTTGCAGGCCAGGATCGAAATGTTAACATGAGAGTGAGATATTTATTGAAATGGCAGATGACTGGAAGATCAGGGTCATCCTTGCAGTCAAAGCTGAAATCACACAATCTGCGGAACTGGAGGAACACAGCAAGCCAGACAGCATCAGATGAACCGGAAAGATGATGTTTTGGGTGGGTACCCTTCTTCAGAGGAAGGGTCCCGACCCGAAACATCAGCTTTACTGTTCCTCTGATGCTGCGTGGCCTGCTGTGCTCCTCCAGCTCCACATGTTGTTATCTCTGACTCCAGCATCTGCAGTTCTTGCTATCATCACACAATCTGCATTTGGTTTTATTGCTAAATGAGATTGTTCCCTGTTATTATTTTCCTCTGAGATCTGTGCAAAGCAGTGACTTCTGGAACTTCATTGTGTTAGTATATTGATCAGCATACAAGGAACCTCTGAGCAGCTGCACAAATATGCAGCCTAAGCAGAATGTCAATTGTGAGCATTGAATACTGTACACCAGATTGAAACAAAATACAACAATGCTTCATCTGAACAGTATGTTTGAGACTGTGGACAGTGAGGATGGAGAAGTTAAATGGTCAACTGTTGCACCTTCTGCGCTTGCATATGAAGATGCCATGGGGAAGGGGGTAAGGAAATGTTAGAATGATGGAAGAATGGAAGGAATGATCTCTGTAGAATTCCAACTGTGGAGAAGAGGGCAAAATGCATTTAGTGGTGGCATCGTGCCATTTTCAGTGACAGAAATGGTAGAGGATAATCCTTTGAATGTGGAGATTGGCGGGGTGGAAAGTGAACACAAGGAGAAACCTGTTCTCAGAGGGAATAGAAGAGGTAAGGACAGACGTAGGGGAAAGTGGTCTGATCAGAAGAGGATTCAGTTAACCTCAGGGGATGGGGTTGGGGGGTATACTTGGTTGATGGTAAATGAGGACACATTGCAGGGACCCTGGTGAAAGGCACCATCATCAGAACAGATGACCAGAGATGGAGGAACTGGTAGAATGGATTGAAATCTTTGCCAGAAACTTAGCATGAGGACATGTAATTGAGGTAACAATGGGGACCAGTTCATTTGTAGTGGATATTGGTGGACAGCCTAATCCCAGAAATTGAAACAGTGAGCTAAAGAAAGGCAAGAAAGGAATCAGAGATGCACTAGATGAAAGTAAGTGAAGGATGGAAATGGGAAGCAAAACTGACAAACACTTTCAATTTCAGATCAGATCAGGAAACAGCACCATTAAAGAGTTGTAGGTGGGAACCTGACTAGAGCTGGAACAAGGGATGTTACATGTGGCCAACAAATAGACAAGCATATCTTGAACTCATGCAGGTACCAATGGCCATATCCTTGACTTGGAGAAAGTGAGATGTGTCAAAGGAAACGTTGTTCAAAGTAACAAAGAGCTCAGTGAGACGAAGGAACATGGTGCTGC